TTTGTTTTAAACGAAACTTGAGCAATGCGAGGACAGTGAAAGTTTGAAGCACAGGTTCCGTGAATCATCGCGGAACACTTACCTCTTTTCACGTAATGAGCTGATAATTAAATTCTTATTCTTATGATATATATCTTAAGCTACTTAATAATGATAAATTGTACGTTTCCAAATCGATCATTTGTTATGCAACAACCAAATAAAACACCGGGTTTTAATCAAACATCCATAAAAGAACCTCCGTTCTGGTCCAAATCCAGAAAATCACAATGGAAACAAAAGAAACGGAGAAAGTCATGGAAAACGAAAACAGATCGTTTGAAAAATCACGAGAGAGTTGAACAATTAATTCAAACACGTGTCGTGGATCGGCTACCTTTTCTGTGTTTGCATACTGCAGTGACTTCCGGTATCGAAACAATCCCGTTTGTCGGTGTTTCGTTATTTTCGACCTTCTGCATCCGACATATACCGGTGGACCGGCAAGCAAAGGGAAACCGTGAGGGACGGGCACTTTTCACTTGAATTATTGATGTCAACGTAATGGACCTGAATGGAGCTGCGCGGATACATACACGTAACGTTTCATCTTGCATGCACGTGTTCCGGAAGCCTCTTTTCTCCTCCTCGTTTTTCTTTTTTTTTTTATCCACGTACATGAGACGTCTTTAAAACGTATACAGGGTATGTAGGGCTCTTAATTAAATCAACTTCGTCCTCCATTTGAAAGTCAAGAATAGAGGGAGAGGTTGGTAACATTCCTTTGAAAAATGATGTAATACTGATGGTATCATTAAGATTATCAGTTGGAAGGGTTATAGTAGTAGGCAGCTATATTTCTTGGCAATCAGAGTTAATAAAATAAAAAGTGAATGACGTAGGAGTTATTGGTGATTAGCATGGCAAATTAGATATATTCGAATAATTAATAGAAAATGGTAGAAAAATATTATTTTGACTGGCATTGTAAGGTAGCATACCGAAAGCTGGATATTTGAAATTTAAAGGATGCTAAAATATTATGATAAAATATTTGCTCCATTAATTATATTTCACTTGTAATTGCTATAATTATGAATAGAAGCAGTGTAATTGATTCACTAATATTCCAAATTCCGTCAGAAGATATTTGACACAGAATCTTGCTGACAGTAGCTAAGGCAACATCTAAAGGGATTTTCCTGAAATGTCTTTATGTATTCAAGCGTTTTGTTAATTAAGGGAAGGAACATGTATCTTACTTGTAATTTGTAGGAACTCCTGTATGTACATGAATCTAAAGTGGAAGTGAGCCTGTTACAACTCAAAAGGAAGTGCCAAAGGATGTTGAATTTTCGTTATACATGTAGTTAGAATTGAAGTTTGAACTACGGGGCATTTATAGCCTTAGGTTAATGACATTGTAAACTAAAGGAACTTCCATTAATATTCATTCTTAAATATTATCCTTTATTTAACGTTGACGGATTTGATTAAATTAACAAGATTTGAGATTTTTAAAATTTTTCTATTTTTATTGTAATAAATAGATCAAAACATTTCTCTCAAATTCTGTTTTCTGTAAAGATACAAAAGTTTGCCTTAACGAAGAACACTTTATGCGGTGGAAAAGATTACACCAAACTCTTCGGAATGATTTTGACACGCGAAATGCTGGTTTCCGTTTCAGCTAAGCTGTGAAACAGGTCGCGTTTCTATTTCATTGTGTTCACTTGTTCACTGAGAATTATATTGCTGTTGTACGATAATTAACTGTTTCAACGAGATTTTAGATAGCTTGGTAACTCGGTAGAACGTTATCACTGTGATACTTTTAATTGATGGTAAACAGTGATACGTACAACAAACTGCATTCGAATTCGTCAAAATATGTGTAAAATCCAATAGCCAATTGATTCCTCTTCGTAAAATTGGCCATCCATTGAATTTTTTCGCCACTGGGTCAACTAGGTCGACTAGGGTGATTAAGCCCAAGAATAATTAATGTCTTCGTAGATTTTTCGTTAAATTAAAAAAACCTAACAAATTTCAAATAGTTTGTGTTTTATTTCAATTTCAAGACGTGATACTCGATTTTCGTTAAGTCACTGGTTCATCCAATACATTCAATATTAGCTATGTCACAGATGCAAGTAGGAAGATTCAAAAATGAAATATTTTCATTTGATAGGATCAATAAATATCAATGGTCCAACACTTCCGAGCGCATCTTTCCTCGTCGAGTCAGAGACAGGGGCTAGCCTACTTTCTCTACAAAGAGAATTTTTAACTGGTCGTGTGAGGGTACCGTCTCTCCCCACTGTCTCCTCTCTCGTGTCTCTCCCTCTCTCTCTCCTCTTGTGTCTGTCGTTTCCTCGATTTACTCAAGCAAACTCAACGGAGAATACCTCCGACCGGTACCCCTCTCAGAGTCTATATAAGTGGACTGTTCGTACCTGGACAAGCATTTTTTGTGTTGGTAGTGACAGAGTCTCGTGGCTGTTAGTTCGAAAGCGTCAGGATGATGTGCAACGATGTGTTCGACTGAAAGTCCGAAGGAGATTAAACTATCTTTCGTTTGGATCGAGAGGATCCAGTGAAGAGGAAGAGGAAACTGATAGTGTCGTTTGATTAGTGTGCAGTGCGGACAATTATTTAACGTGGGTGCAGCATGGTAGGAATCAAGGTAGGTGATCGGTGGATTTTATCGTCGTCCAAGTGACTACTTGCCTTTTCTGCTCAGTGTACTCTATGCAGTGTTAATCACCAAGTTTTTATCCAGTTCTTTGATATTCTTACTAATCGTTCGAGGTGAATTAAGGTGATCTGTGATCGCTTCGAGGGACCTTCTGTTGCAATTCACCGGAAGGATGTTATTTTCTTTCGAGACGAAACTTTGGGAAAGCTGATCATGATATCGATGGATGTTAATGATCTTTGAATTTATGAGGAACTGTTAATCCTTTCACGTTGCACGTATCTGTTTTTCATATAATAGGCTTTGAATTTGAGTGCATTGTAAAATGTGTTTTATGTATTCAGTTTGATATAAAATGTGTTTAAGGGTGGATAAGTTAGATGAAATTTTTTAAAATACGAAGTTCAAGAGAAACTGGAGCTATTAAAGTCGAGAAATTACTCTCCCTTTCGACTGTCACCTTTCTACTTATCGTATAAACACTTCTCATTAATCTATGGGTGTTATTAACATTAAAATAACAACCTGTCAATTCATTGATTTTTTTTTCATTGACAACGTCGATCATTTCTCAAGTAAAATAGAAGTATAATTTGTCGATTATTAAAGCAAATAGTTCAAATGAAATGAAAATATTTCTATCACGTGAAAGTAAAAACTTTTCAGTTGTTTAATTAATGGAAAACAATGTTACACTTCTTTGGCACGGTGTTGCATCAACATTATGAAAATAGCTAAACACGATCAAAGTGATTATGGCTTCTACTGTCTAATTTAACCTGAAAGTGTAGAAAGTAGCGATGTTGCAGTAATTGAATGCAATAAAAATGATTAAAGAAGTTTGATAATTTTAAAAGTAATCACAAGTTGCCTGTTTAATAATTTAATATTTCAATATTTTATCTCCAAATGTTTGCTAAAGTAGAAAGCAATGTAAATTTCTATCAAAACTAACAAAATTATGTTCATAAGATTGTGTTGAGTTGATAGTTTACATTTTGTTACTGTTCATTTATTTCAGTGCATTCGTGCATTGCACTTCTCGTCGTTGCACTTGAGAGAAAGTGCATATTATGTTAACCTTGTATCTCGGTCATTGTGCCATTTGAAACTTCCATGAATGGCTTTTTAATGGCAATAACCAGGTTTCTGGTCCCCTCTTTAATATCTTTTATGAAAAAACAAATTGGTTGTTATGGGATATGGTGAATAGCTATTATCATAAACGGACCGTGAAAGCATTGTTCAATTATGTCTTTATGTAGTTCGAATATTTGCCAAAGAAAATGAAAAGTGTCACCTGTAATATTTATCCTTATTCTACAATTTTGCAATCTAAATTATATGCAATAATTAAAGAAATTCATAAATAGCTCTCAGTTCAATCAGAGATGTTTATCTTGTCGTGTAGCAATGTTTAACTTCAATCAGTGAGTTGAAGTGGGAAACAATCATAGATCAAAGAGAAATTGTCATTTCTTTCATCATTCTATGGAACAGCATCTTTGCAATTAACATAATTATTCACGGTTCCGTAGGTTTAATACTCGCAGCGAGTAAAGTAAATGCACGTTCACATAATTTTCACGTACATTGGAACGACTACCTCATCCAGCGGCAACCAAGGTCGTAAACTAGCTTAAAGTCTCCCACGGCCTTCAATATGGAGTTTGTAGACAATGCACAAGCGAAATGTGTACGCGATACTAAGCTACAGTTATGCAGCCGACGAACTAATTAGAACTGGAGAGGATGCCATAGTAGTTTAGCTAACTCATCCAAAATCTAGGAACTGTTCTAATCTTGTCTTTACTTTTCGTGAGCGACGAAAGGAACATTCAAAACAGTAATTACTATTAATAAATAACAGCATTAAGACACAACAGTATTAGTTATATAGTAGTATCATAGATAAATAATATTTATTTTATAATAATAGTAATTATTATTGATTAAATGTTATTTAGATTAACTACATCACTGCTATTAGTTGAACGGTAATTACCATATAATGGTACTAATTTTAATTAAATGTTAATTAAATTAAAAGCCTCAGAGTACTTGGCATATTTAATAAAATCTGTTTGGTATTTATTTTAATGATTTCACACAAGTAATGCACAAGCTACTTACAATTCACGCTCCATTTACCTCCCATTAACTTCCAGCTCGTAATTACAACTATCCACTAAATAATCACCTACTTCTTACTTTCGTTACCCCGTAATGAAGAACTTAATTGCAATCAAGCTCGAGACAACAGCTGTTATCAATATTATTAAAATCGAATGAAAGTTGAAGAAAATTTTTATTTTGGTTACAGATGTCGATCGTGTTGCTGAGCATTCTGCTGATTGGACATCATGTTCAAGCAGTAGTCAATAAGGTGCAGCCACAAACGTCTGTCAAAGGCGAGGAAGATAAACAAAACGAAATTAAAGCTGATGATAGAATAAGTAATTCTTATGGTCCACCAGCTGATGATTATGGACCACCAATTGGGGCAAATTTGAAGGGACCAGCTCCAGTTTACGGTCCGCCAGAACTAGTAGGTGATCAAGGACCTACGCCTATATATCCCCCTCCACCGCCAGAAATATCGTTACCGGTATATGGGCCACCATTGTCTTCCTACGGACCTCCACGGAACATCAAACCATTCTACGGTCCACCGAAACAAAGTTACGGTCCTCCATTGTCTCCTTTGCCCTCGAAACTGAGCTTTGGCTCGCTGAAGCTTCACTACGGGCCACCGAAGCAACACTACGGACCGCCATATTCCTTCGGCTCGTTTAGGCCACCGAAGCCTCAGTATGGCCCTCCATTGAAATTCACTTCCGGCGTGTCTAATCAATTCATCGCATCGTCGGGTCACAGACCAACGAAACCGGTACTCGAGCCCTCCGTCTCTCTACCTTTGAACACCTACGAACCCCCTCAGAAACTCGCCGTCCAGTTTAACCGCCAACCGAACGACGAATATGGACCACCACCGCCACCAGCGATTTCGGCTGTGCCTGAATCTCAATATGGACCACCGACCAGTGACTTGTACGCACCCCCTCCGCCGGTTCCTCCGCCAGGTGTCCCAGCACCACCTACGCCACCTGACATCAAGTACGACGGCTGGCAGCCCATTGCTGGGTTGAGCAATCAGCATGGACAGCCTTCGAACACCTATGGTCCTCCATTGAACGAGCCCAAGACGGTAGAAGGTTCCTCCTCGAACTTGCAGGACGATCCAAACGTGCCCAGTGATTCCTATGGGGTTCCGATACACAATCCTGAAGCTCAAGATCTGAAGACCTCCGTGAAATTGGGTGCCAATGAGAATGCGGGATTACCACCGCCATCACTGCCCGAGTACGAACCATTCCATAATGAAAATCAGAATCCACCGAAGAAGGACCTACCTGAGAAGATTCTATCTGGTCCAGTTAATCTGCAGTACGGGGTGCCTAAAGTTGAACCACTGCCTCTCATCAAAACAGTTGGATTCGAGCTGCTACCGACAGTTTCGCCGTTATCTTCGGATCTGTCTGGGTTAAAATTACCAGTGCTGGATAGTGTTCCTCATTTTAATCTTGGATTCGGAGACACCCATGCGTTTCAGAGTTTAGGAAACGACTTGTCGTTGGGTCAATTCTCAGCCAATGGACTATCTAATAGTTATGGTCCTCCATTGGCAGGTGTTTCATTCGGAAAACTGAACTCTATTGAATCTGGCATACCTTTGCCTCCACCTCCTCTACTGGACACCTACAGTATCCCTCCTCTCTCTTCGTTCTCGCTCAATGAACCATATCAGTCTGCGGAAGCAGGACGGGCGTCGTCGCATTCTTCTTTTGGTCTGCACGGCAGTTCGCTTTTTAAGCAGAACATACATCATCATCGTCCTCATGGCGCGTTCAGGTCTCCCCCGCCACTTCCTGGTTCTCTGATACCGCCTCGTAATCGCGAGCCGATCAAGTTCAAAGAACCCATCCCTAGCGGATTGTTGACCAACCTGAATCGCTACGTACCACCACCGAGACACGCTGACTTGGCCAAGTCACCAAAGACGTTCATTTCGACTTTGTCGTTCGAACAGCAATTGCCTAGCTTAAGCGCTCCAGTGGCGTTCCAGAAATTACAGAACCTCGGTTCAAACTCGCCGATAGCAGCACCGAACGCTCAGTACGGGACGCCGTTATCCTTCAGTAATTTCAACACCCCGGCACCGGTATTGACATACGGAGCGCCAAACTTTGGTCCGGCTTCTTCTTTCGTCTCGACCTCCACCAGTTTTGGGAACAATCTCTACGACAGCATCGGCAATACCATAACCACCACCTATGGCACTCCTGTGGTGAGTTTACCATTATCGACAGACGGTGGTCACGATTGTGGCTTCCAACAGACGGGCACAGGTACGCAGTACAGTTTCAAGGATACTGGCAACTACCTGGCCAACTCAGGACCCCAGCTGCACAGCTTCGGTGCAGCTTTGTCAGGCCAGTCTCTTTCTTCCGATTTGGGCCAGAACTTCAAGGTAGGCTCGCTGGATCTGCCTCAATCGATCAGCCAACTGAACCTGGAGAGTTACGAACAGCCCAAGACGAATCTGAAGGACAGTTACGGCAATCCTGTAGGAGTACAGACCGCTCCGGAGCAGTTGGATAACATCCTGGCCAGTGACCATAGCCAGTCGTCCGATGTGGCTAATGTAATTTCGGTTCCTCCTGTCACGCAGTTCCAAGACTCTCCCTTCTCTCCGAGTTCTCAGGACAATAGCATAAGGGCGGAAGCACTAACAGCCAGTTTAAGCGAGCAGGGATTCGGTCAAGCTAAGAATCTTGGATCCAACGAGGTGGATGCTAGCCAGTTCTTGAACAGCCAGGAGGGCAGTGAAGCTTTGTCTTTGGCCAAGGGATTAACATCGAGCGGAGGTGATGGTTTCGAGGTTCAGGGCTCTAAGGGAACGTACATGCTTCAGATCCAGGCTGCTGATGGTGGATTAGGCACCGAGAACTCGGACGGCAGCATCAGACACGACCAGGTCCTGTCCAATGGACTCCTGCAGGACATCCTCGCGGCCATTGAACAACCGGAACAAGGGCAGGTACAGGTTCAAGGTCATCCCGAGGTGCAGTCGTTGCAACACGTGTACAGTAATTTAGCTGAACCTAGGAACGCGGATATCCCCAAAGGACATTACATTACTGTTGAGGAGGGATCAGGGAAGAAGGATATCGGTGAATTGGCCGAACTGGCCAGCGACAGGAGCGAGAGTGAATTTAATAAAGCAGACGCTTCGAAGAAGGAAGCTGTTGCTCTTTTCTTCAATAATCAATACAGTGACTCCCGGAAGGAGACCAGGTCAGTAGCGAAACGCGAGAAAGTAGGTGCCTTGGAGAATGCAAAAGGTGCGAGTAAAGAGAAGTCTTCTTAACCTCTTCAGAAGACAACAGTAAGGTACAATAATATAATTTCCGCTCAATCCTGTCTCAAGCTGGAGATAGGAAATCATATCCGGTAAAATCATCTTTGGTGATTTGAAGTGATTGATAGCGTTTTTCGACATAAAATCATAAAAGGCATTGATTCCATGAAATATATAGCCGTCGAACTGTCAAATTGTTAAAATTTCTACGATTTTCAATCACTTCGACATTTCGATTCTTTCTATTGTGTTGTTTCCAGTCAACGAGTACACTCCTCTATCGAGTGCAACTAAATGTAGGTTTAGTTGCATTTCACGTCGAAATTAAAGAGAAAAGGCTGTAATTTGCTTAACTTTTTCGCTCGTCCAGGAAACGAAAGACAATCATTTGTTGGCTAACGCATCGATGACCGGTTATGACGCAAAGCGTCCACTTTACTCAACAAATTCTCGTTCCTTATTTAAACAACGATTACATAAGCCAGGCGTGAAATGTTGAATTTCCCATTCGCTAAAAGGTAGACGGTTATCGATGGTTTCAAAGTCGTGAAGTGTTCTTTCGATTGCAATAGAAGAATCGAAGCGTTCCACGGTCTTTTCTCGCTTGAAAACTCTTCAACGAGACAGAGAGGTTTTCTCGTGAACGATTCGAGTAAAAGTATCGACGTCGTCCTTTTTTGGGGACCATTCGTGTCACGGCCATTCGCAAACTTAGAGTCGCCTCTTTCGGCTCGTTTCATTGACGAATCGGTCGCAACATCTTGCAATACTCATCTGGCTCGTTGGACTGCGAACTGTTGACGGTTATCGAGCCACTTTCTTCCGTGGCGAACCTTCACCGAGGTGAAAGTTCAAAACCTCGTTCAACAGCTTCGAGTAATATCGCTTACCTTCTAGGGAAAAAAAAAATCTCGTTTTCGAGTGAAATGCATTGCTCGAGTCTGCGGGCGATACACAACACGGTTTTGCATACCTTTGTCACGATAACAGGTAGATATGTATATATCTAGTCCGTTGCTCCTTATGGAATACATTATACCAGTTATCCACCGGAGACAATGAGATCTTACGACTTTATTCACTTTCGTGCTGATTAGCTGTGGAAGCGTTACTTTTTCCTTCGATACTAAACTCTTATCTTCTAACGCGTTGATGCGATGGAGGACCTCACAGCAAGAGGAGTGCAGTTTCGTTCTAACCCCTTCGCCTAGCGATTTAACCCCTTGCAATTTTTTCGATACTTGCATCAGTCAAAGCTAACTATTTATTGCTCCAATTTTAGAACAAATAAAGAAAAATAAAAAATCACATGTATATAGCATTCAACGATCCTTGGTTGAGGAAATAGTAATTAGAATTAAACTCAAAATTTAATCATGTTGCAGGGCAAGGGGTTAATAGTTCTTCAATTATGAAAAATTTGTCAAGAATAGAAATAAAGATTTATCAACTCGGTAACTAATTAAACTACAGTAATAATTTGATAAACGTTGAAAATGGTAAAATGGTAAAAATGGAGCTGCCTTCCATCTTATACGTGTAATTATATTATTGTTCCAATACTTTCATGCATATCTGTATAGTAATTTCCTGTATTAGCAGAGCTAGATCAAATTCTTCTTTTTCTAATAAGTGAAAGCATTTTGAGGCACAAGTACCCAAAGATACACGAGTCAGTCGTATATAGAGAAGCAGTAAAACTCTGTCGTCCGGTACGGTTGATAACCGACGCGATCACATGCTGAAATATATAACCTGGGCCAGAAATATAGGTAATAAAATGTTAACGCGTTTCGCATGCAAGGCAGGCGCCGTTCATCGACGCCGGGTTTTAACGCCGTTACGTTATCAACGACGCACACGTCTCGTATTCAGAGTAATCTTGAAACTTCTTGTACTTTTATAGTGCTGCCAGGTCGAATGGTTATGCATAACTTGGTGTATTGCGGATACGTTAAAATAAGTAGAGCGTATATAAGCTTAGGGAGACGCTCGGTTGTTAAGAAACACGCAGCTACTAAGCTGCCAAGCCATAAAACATGTCAATTTCCTTCTAACTCCTATTGTTCTTCCTTCTCTTTATCTCTCTTTTTATACTTTATATGTAATTTAATTTATTGTTTTATGTAATAAGACAGTGTCCTGTGCGATGACGTATCGTTCACGTTGATTAACAAATTAATTGCCACAATTAGTCATCGATGGTTCAACGTTACAAACATGAAATTTCATTAATTACATGGCAATTATTGTTAAAGTGTATCGTTTTTCAGGGTGGTAATTAAGGTGTTAAGAGATCGATTTTGTCATTCGTTCAACACACCGCGTGTGCGACTGTACTTTTTATATTATGCGTGCATTTACGGAACTATGTTAAGCGTGTAAATATACGATGTGTTTGTATATAGAAGGATTCCTTTGGTTTTGTCCTGTGTGGGTGATAACCTGTATCCCTTTTTTTCGATAACCACTTAAAAAAGAATTTTAGGTAATATAGAAGTTTCAATACAGAAGCCTACTTCTTTAGATTTAAAATTTGCATAGAATTAGTATCGTTTATGGTTTACCAATTTTTCCATTCTTGAAATTACTAAATTTCAAATTTCTAAATTTAATAATTTAAAAAAAATACTCAATGGAATTTCCAAAAATTTGATACATATACATTTTCTCTTCTGTTTACTCGACTAGTTGTAATCCCAACTTTCAGTAGCCAAGATTTGTGTTTCATGTTTGCGAATCCAATTTGAAAATGTCGGGGAAAGTGTTTGGCCGAAATTCTAGCACGACGGCGAAACGAAAACGTACGAGAGGAATTAAGCATCCGCCGCTAAGTAGGATTACGGTTATGTAAATGAAACGCTATGGCGTTTAGGTTAACGCGTTCTCACTTGCCATCGGATCCTCGATCCTCTTCCACTTTTCCTACGTTTCTTTCCCTCTTCAGGTTCGCTTCTGCCTAGCCTGGCTCTTCTCCTTTCCTCCATTATTCCGTTGTTCGCGGACCAGATAATACGATCGTATAAGGCCTCCTTTGGAAACTGAAACTCGACTAAACCATGAGAATGTTCGTATGTTTTAAGTTATGTATAAAACCGGGCGTGTACAGTAACGCGAGAATTTCCGCTTGATTCGAGCTTCGTATAATATAAATATAAGACATTCCAGTTGCAATTAAGGCAATCTCCTTAACATTTTGATATATTCGAGAAAAATGAAAAAGGAACAAGGACAAATACACATGTCCAATTTGCACTGTGTCGGTTAACGAACTGGAGTTGACAAGTATATTCAAGAAACCAAGGAACTGGTACATCACCATTCCGCGTCGTTAGCAAGCTAAAGTCAGACTCCCTCCACAAATTATAACTGCACACCTTATTCCTCTTCCCTCCTATTCATCTTCTCCTTCTTTCCGAAGCATTTCTTCCGCTCGCTACTTCCTGCCGCTTCGTTACGCAAGAAGATGCATCCGAACGAGCCTGGAATTCTCGTCGCGAATGTTGAACATTCTAAGATACAGGGTGTACTGTAAGAATTTGACAGCGAAAAGTCAAGAGTAGCGAGTGGTATATCTTCTCTATTATACTAGCGCTAGCTATTTTCCTTGATCCTAGATTTAACGCTAATTACTCGAGCCCTCTAACTATGTTTCCCGACTCTAGATTTAACGCTAGCTACTCCAGCCTTCTATTTCCCTCGACCCTAGATTTAACGCTAGCTATTTAACCCTCTCGCTATCTTCTAGCCTGAATTTAGAGCTAGTTGCTCTAGCCTTTCCGCTACCTTCCATGCTCTTCGGTACATAGCATTTGCTACTCTAGCTTTCCAATTATCTTCCGCGTCTCTAGGTATCAGCATTAGCTATTCTTCCACTTATCTCCCCAATGTAATCTAATCTTTAAACGCGACCTTCCAATGAGTTTACTTCGCGTCCAAAAACGTCGGCCTCGCCAGCTTATTGCTCTTTGAACGTCTTCGGGTTCCCTTGTTGCACCCTATAGCATTATCCTAGAATGTTAGGCGTTGTCGCATAACACTGGCAACAAACACGGATACCATCCTCTTCTGTCGCTGGATCCTTACGGCGTAAATTGGTTCCATGGTTGAAGTTAACCAGCAAACAAGAGAGAAAATGGCCGTCATGCGAGCAAGCAGCAACGTCGAAATGAATTTCGTTAGCGTTCAGACAAGCTCGAAGGAACCGTAACGACTTCCTTCTCGTGTAGCTTTAATCGAAAGAGGTATCACCGGTATTCTCGTGAAACAGAGAGGGCTGGTGACGAGGAGGGATTGCCAGAGATCTCGAAGGAGCAGGGTTTCCCGCAAGAGGGAGGTAGCCAGGGGGAACGTATGCATTTCTCGCGAAGCTCTGGAAGTGCTTTATTTCCATAGTGAGCCGGTATACGTACACACCGACAGTCATACTGATCTCAAGAGGAGCGTCGTTGCGCCTCCTGGGTGGTATATACGAAATATAAGGCGACTTGACAGAAAGAGAGTCTCAGGCGTATCGTTGGTCGGTCTGCATGCCGTAGCCTCGTTCGCCTTAGGCAAAATTCTCTTTTCTTCCCCCTCTTCTTTTCGAACGAGGTATAGTCGCTAAAAGTGAAATCTTAGAAAATAAAATAGCCCCATAGGTGGTTGCCGGTACCTCCTAAAACGCGCTCACGATCCTTCATACCTCTTTCGACAACTTACCATACGTTTCAAAGTTTTCCTAAAAGGAGGTTCTGGTTTGGTTGGTTAAAAAACAAAAGTAAATGTTTATTATAATTAAATCTAGGGTGTGATTGTTCATGTTCGTCTGACATTTCAGAGACAGGATTTCTGAATGCTTTGAAGCATATTATTGAGGTGAAGACCTTCATTAGCATTTGTGATAATAGATTAGTGTAGCAGCAGTAGTAGTATTAATAATATCAATGGTGATAGAAGTGATAATAATAGTAATAATATAAATTAAGTGATATTTTCAAAATTGGTGGAGATGTTAAAAAAAATAGGTAACTAGATGATTGTTCCGTGCACTCAATACACTCAAGTACCGAGCGTAATTCAAACACTGATTGACATAATTATTCTCCAACATTGCATCTCTGTCAGAATTACGCAATTGCAGAAGCAGCAAATGTCACTGGCCCGTATGATGCCGTAATTAGCTGGATAATTGAGAAATACTGGGAATTTAAGGATATAACTTACATGCATGCGCACATAATTTCTAATTAAGTTGATCCCATTACCGATGCAATATTTCATTTGCATAATTAATTTATTGCCAAACAGGCCATCCTGAGTGGCAGTCGAAAACCGTGTACCGCTATTTTCGTTGTAATAACGAAATCTTGTCAACCAATTTCGTACTTTATTATACATTGCGTAAAAAAGAAATTAGACCCGTTTCTTTGTTTTAATAAATGAAATCAACGAAAAATTGTTAACTAATGTAAACTTAAAATTCACAATTATCCGATTATAGTATAAGCAATACAAATTATCAACAATCGCACCGCGTCGAAACTGTCAAAGAAACAAACGTCAATATTCCAGTAAACGGTGATTATCCGTTACCATTGACGAAACTAAGCTCGTATACGAGGATTCATGGAAGATCGGGGGTTATTCATAGACATCGAAGCGGGATATTGTTCCGCTTGATCGATCGACGGTTCAACGGGGTTAATCGGAAAATCTCCGTAGAAAATCCGTCCCCAGGGGGGTTGGAAGGAGGGCTACGGGACGGCTAAAGTACACGCCGCGTAACAACGAGAGGGAAAAATGACAGACGTGAAAAAAAAAGAAAGGAAGAAGGAAAGGAAAGCGAGATGATAGGCTGCAGAGCTTTGAAGGAGAAGGAACGAGTCTAGAAGGAATTCCATAAAAATCGGTGAAATATGCATAGTACCACGGAACGTGGAGGAGCGTCGCGACGTCGTCGAGTGTCCTGGGGGAAACGGGGAATCCCAGCGCGAAGAAGAGAACGAATTTCGAGTAGAAGAAGAAGAAGAAAAAAGAACGGCCGAAAGGGAAGAGAGCAGGTTGAAGAGAAGGGTGCCAGTGACGAAGAAGGGGGTAGGGGAGGTGACAGATAAAGGAAAGAAGGTCGGAAGAGTGAACATTTGGAACGTCTCCTCGAACGAAATCTAATTTCACTCCCACGACGAAACTAAGCTATTTTCTCCGCAATATGCACGCGCAAGTGCTTCGATGTTTTTCAACACCTATTCTGGTCCTCTTAGCACCCGGAGAAAGTTGCAAATTTTCCCGCCTTCTTCAGGGAACATCCATCTAACATTTTTCCACCTGTATTTTTCTCTGAATATTTCTCTGATCAAATGATTATCATTAACGATAGAATCATAGGGCAAACGTTTTATTTGTAAGATCCTGGTACAAGTGGTAGAGAGGAGCTAACTCGTGCTCAACCTGTTGTACGGTGCTTGCGTAGACAACTCTTAGGTAAATATACGAGGCAAACTTTGAACGCGTTTGCATTGCCCCGCACTGTCAAGCGGTTAGAGACAGAACTTTGCGCGAAATCACCGATGTTTATCAGTCGAATCAATTATGGCATTAAATCCATCTTTCACGAATTCAATCTACGATTAGCCGTACTTATATCAAGCTATCCTAGGGTTTCGCTCGAATAATCACTATTCACCTACATCCGTCTCGTGGAAACAAAGGTCCGACGTACAGTTCTTTGCAAGCGACCGTCGCGTTTCGAAAAGATTCCATTGTTTGTTTCGACGCTGCGCTGCTTTCCCTTCGGGAACAGAGAGGAAAAAAAAAGAAGAAAGAGAAAGAAACAAAAGATTCCTCGAGGCGTTCGTACGGCAGAGTTTTGAAAGGACCATCGAGAAGAACGAAGAAAGTGGCAGGGAAGTGTACTGAAATGGCCACAAGCTGGCGGTGGCTGAAGAGCATCAGGATTTCTGGTTCTGCCCTCATAATTAAGCCGGCGTTGCTTTTTGATGGCCACTAAAAATGTCACAGAGGGTCGAATGGTTAAGGATTTTCTCCGAGGGACTTCTAACTTCGAGGCTGCTTTTCCGCTTGCCCGTAAGGGTTGCTCGGCTGCCGAGGAAGGGAAAAGAAGAGCAACCCTTATGCTCTTGATATTAGCAATAGCTAGTCTCGTAAAGTCGACTGTGCGGTAATTCGAGTCACTTTGCGAACCCTTTATACACTCGTGGGCCTACGCAGAAGGGGTGTACGCGACAGAACGGCGGGGACGAGGGGCGGTTTGAAATACCGTGGGTAGGGCAGTGATTTTAATGCGGGCGGTTCTTAAATTTTACGTCACTTTCCCATCTACGTTTCAACGAGCTCCGTCGCCGTTTGCCGCTGGACGCGGACGTGGAACGCAGGATTAAACTGTACCAAGGGGGTAAACCTGT